AGCGTCATATTATGCAAAGTCAATTTTTTTTGGCAGTGCTTGGACTAAATCATGTCGTCAACAGATTGCTTGAGCTTTCATCTATGAAGATGGTACAGTTTCTATATGAAATACCAAATCATATGACTTTGAAGGCTATATCTCAAAACTAATTTTCGCAACGGAAACCCTCATAGATGTTCCTACAGGTAAAGATCCAACGACGTGTAAGTCATAATTCACTTGTCAAAAAACCGAGTATGTGAAGAGTAAAGCAGGTTCTATTCACGTGCAATAGAACAGAAGAACCTATAAAAAAATAAGGCAGAGAACAACTGAAATGCATTGGAGAATAACAGAATTTGTGCATTTTACTTAGACCAAGTAGAAAATGGGACTTTATTCCTAAAGTATCAAGTTCGGTAATAAAATGAGTCCACATTGAGCAATGGCGCAGTTGAATAAGGACTACAAAAATAACCAAAAGAATTACAGGAAAGGTAAGCGTACTTATTTGCTTAAACGTGTGCGGATGATTCAAGGCGAGATCTCCGAAAGTCGGTGCAAATACCCAATCTATGAATCTACTACTGAAATCAACTTGAGTAGCAAATAGTTCGAAGTTTGCTCCAAGAACAGGTCCGATCAAATCTCAACGCTGCAATAGCCAGCGAAACATGAAATTAACAGTATGGTTGAGCTCTTCCAAATCAATGCATACCCAGCCCCCAAAACAAAAGGCAATATGCAGTAAAGCGATAAAGCAATTATGCTCTGTAGACGTCAAATTATTAGGATGGCTCTTGGAAGTCATAAGCCACCTAATTTCGACGATAAAGCTCCCCATTACTGCACAGTAAAACAGTCTTCATAACTGTAAGACACGGGTTCTTTGTCTGTGAAGAAATTTTAATAAGAGGTATTAAGAATGCACAGAAATGTAATAATAGGGAACCAATAAATACAAAAACAAACGATTGCAAAGTCAAACTCCTCGAACCGTTCGCCTTACCTTTCCCATTGGCACTAGTCAGTCCGGTATCGTTAAAATGGTGATGTAGAACTTTGCCACCAATTAGCGGAGAGCTTGACATTTGCCTGAGCCAAACAGAGTTCTCAATTCATCACCCGCATTTATGGAAGATCTTCTCCGCGGCTAGTTCTGGATATTAAAAGCATTGCGAAGGAACTTCAAACCACTAAGAGGCGGTGCACTCGTTTACAGTGAACTAGGAAACAACTCCTTCATATTACGATCTCTGCCCCAAAGGAACTAGAAAAATAAAAAAGGGACGAATTGCAGACGTCCATGAGCTTCACAGAAAGTGATGAAAAGAGAAGAATGACAGTACAATCAAGAATGCAGAATCTTATTCAACATCATAACAATTAAAAACTTTCAAACAGTTGAAAATCAAGGCAAGATAAACGGGTAGATAGAAATAGTTAACAGTAAAAGTAAATGCTCATAAAAATCGGCCATTTTGTTTCTAACAAGCTTGTGGGAAAGACCGAACGTCAAAGAAGATGCTAATAAAAATGTTGCATAATGCCTAAGACATCCAAAATTCGCCGTTGCATAAAAGGACTGGAAAACAGCTTAATTTAATACAGGTACCTTCACCTAATTGCTTAATCCAAGAGATATGACGAAAACTAGATAACAGTAACAAATCTGGTAGTCTGCAAAAATATGCTTTAAGAAAGGCGCTGACGTGCACGATAACACTACTCACAATACACTAACACTCACCAAATGACGAAAACAGCAACACAACAAGAGCTTGACTGCTTTTAGACGCGTATTGAAGTAAAGGCAGTAAGTAAAACGAATGCTTTATCATAAAAAGATGGAAAATGCCAAATTTGGACAGCTGAATGCATTAATAGCTTCGACTGCAAACAGAATTCTTGGTTGAAACCATATATAACTGGTTGAAACTACGCCCATTGTAGCATCCCAAGACTTCCCTGAAGACAAAAGAAGACACAATACTCGGGTAGAATATATATGTTCAGCACAGGGAAGGCGTTTGGGCTACTGGCATAGCCCGAAGGCCAGTGCACTCAGCGATGCACAAGAAGGCAAATTCAGAAGTTCGAAAGTGGCGCCTCGCCAATACCGAGGGAAAAGTCACCATAATTCTACACCTGTTGTTCAAAAAAAGTTAAAATACTTTTAGGAATAAAAACGTCAATGAATTGATTTACTTACAATATTGGAGTCCTTAAAAATTACAGATAAAGTACTGCTGCCCATTAAGATTCAACATGCTTGTTTGCCTTGAAAAATTACATTTTTGCGATAAAAATTAACGTTTTAAAAGTTTACCTGTATTGAGTGTTTTATTTAAACGAAGTTACTCATAGGAAATGAAAACTGAGGTTTGCAACGATAATGATACTGATGCTCCACTGACGTGGTCCGATTCATCTTTCAAGAGCGCTCACTTAAGTTTGAGCTTCTGTTTACGTAAGTCTTGGTGTTTGTGGATTTTGTTCGTTACTGCAGGTCCTTCACATGGTCTTACGCAGTGTGAACTGTACTTCGTCTTTGTTTAATCTGACATTTCTGCTGTCAATGTTTTAGTTTACCAGGTGCCTTATTATAACCTGCCTAATTAACTTTGTTTTATCGGCATGGCACTTTGGAAATTGAAATAAGTCGTTGCCTTACTTGTACTGGGTATAATTTGGCGTCGGTTTAGCATCCTTTCTAGCCATTGGGCTTTTGTGGGAATTTGGTTCCTGAAGTTGCGTATTATAATGAAAGTGGTCTTAGGATTCGACACAATATTTTGAGCTCATGGTGTAGAATTTGGTCACGGGGATCTTCTTTAACAAATTTCGGCTACGTAAAACGCCTTTTGTGAATGCTTTTCTAGAGGAACTCATTACAGCATGTAGGAGGTCGTGAATGATTTTCCTAGATTTTTTTCATCTTACTTCACAGTTCATGACATACTAGGAGCTATGGCTATTTGGATTCCATCAACGAGTTCTAACGACCACGCACTAAGTGAAGTTTAGAAACTGGGTGCAGAGCCGATAGCGTGCTGCTCTATATAGTCTACCTTGCTAGTCATTTCGGCACAATTACCTGCTCCCGCTCAAGACGGGCGCTTAATTAATGACCTTTGTACGGCATCTAGGTTGCATGCAATCATACGACAAGTAATTCATATTCTCTACTAATGGCCTCTGTGGTACAAGCGACAGATGTTATTTATCATATTGGTTTGTTTCTGTTTTCAAGCAGGTATTATGCTCTGTTCTTAGTTTTTGCGGCTCGTGTTTTTAGCCTATTCAATTTCATCATAATTTGGGAGACATAGCTTTTCATTAAGAAATCCAATTATCCGCTCTGCAGTGCGGCGGTTTTTAAGCCCTAATAAATGTGTCAGAGACAATCATTTTTGAAGTATCATCGTACCACTTTTCTTGTCACTGCAGTTTATTTTGAAGTTCGATTCTTTGGAAATGTGTGTAATTCATCCTCATCAAACCCTCTCATTTATTCATTAACTTCCCAATTGGTCAGTTATTTTACCACTAATAAACCGTATCATCATTGCAGGAACCTTATCGGTTTTGATCAGTGCTAGCAACGGGAGAGTGGTTTGTGTATTAGCGAGGGCTTTTGGTTTATTCGTTAGAATTTTTCACTGTCCTTCAAATTGTGGATCAGGTGGAATTCTCTTTGCTAATTTTCCTAGTGTCGTTTTTTATTGTGCTTTTCTAATTTGTTCCTTCTGTATTATCTTGCTGATTCACTTCCACTGTAGTGGGTGGATGTCTTTAATTACTTTGATTTCCTATTCTACCACTAATACACTCCCGTGATTGTTAGTGAAGTCTCTGATGGTGATTGGGTGGCTAGATTTGTATGTACTGCTGATGTTCTGGTGAAAAGGACTTGCTTTTGTAGCCATAAATCGGTTACTGTGGTGATGTTTTCCAGTGCTAGGTGATAGTTTTTATCCAGGTAATATTCGACGTTCATGTCTCTTGCCGGTCTAGCCCCATACTCAAGATGGTAAGGCGGGGGGGGGGGGGGCAGTGGAAGTGAATGTGTGCATAGGGCAATGGTGGTAAAGCCCCTTACGAACGGTGACGTTATACTCATAATCGTAAATGTCTACTCGTACTGAAGGTTTTCAACACATTAGGTTCGGTGTGGGACGCCCAACCACCCAGCGGTGAGATATTGGTTTGGCGCAGACGTTTTAGGTACGGCCCTACCTCCGTGACGTTTCAGGCTACGGTGATTCACTTTCTAAACCGCAACCCAGATGGTCATCCCTGTGAACATTCAGCGCTTGATGCCCCTAATTATGCACAACTGCAATTGCACAAGAACCAGATCTCTGTGGAAATGCTGAACACAACAGCATCATTCACGAATGCTTACAACTTTGAAAAATGGCTACACGCTGGGTAACAGGACGGCTTTACGCTTTCAATCAGTACAGTAAAATGACTGCTAAGCTGAAATAAAGGGGCGTTTAGGCAAGGAAGATAAGGATCTCCTGGTTTGCATTACTAGCTGGGTGGAAACTTGGGTATGAATTCGCCATTTAACTTCGGAATCAAAGCGGACATGGAAGCAATCAGAACTTGTGGATTCACCATCGCAATTGCGACACTAACAAAGAAATGGTGCAGACTGTGCTAGGGTGCATTTTTTGCGCTGGAAATCCTTATTATGCTAAATTTTTACAGGCATGGTTTAATAGCTGGGATCACTAAATACGGCTTCCGTCTCTTGTTTCGATTTGACTTAGTCGGCTTTGCACTAGCCCCTATTCCTTTTCACTTCAACTTGGATTGTAGGATTGCGTCCCGTGGAAAGGAGTTGACTGTAGCCTCATTAAACTACTCGTTTCCACCATTTATCAAAATCGTCATTTTGCAGCCAATACGCCATGGTGCTAATGCTTGAAGCTTACTTTTTTGGGGTTGGTTGGAGTAACGTCCATCTGTGCCATATGCTGCAGTTATAAAAATCGGACAAGTGAGCAATGTCATTGGGGCTGCCAGAGGCGAAACCGGACACGATGGAGGAGATTTTCTCGGAGAAGTGTCAACGTATCGAGCTGGAGGCCTACAGTCTCTACCACTTTGACGAGTTGGTGATAGACGGACGCAGATACCAGTATCGCCTTTCCACCAAAGGTGACGTGATGACCGTGGTCTGTAGACTGGCGGGCCAGGATCTCCTTCTCGTCTCTGTGTGGACCAATATGGAGCACGAGAATCGCATCCGCGAGATCCACCAACACATCCTGGAACGCGAGAAAGCCACCCCTCCTCTTGACCCCAACCAAGGCCGGGGTTAGGCATTCTTCGTCTACTTTGACCATAATAGTAGACGTTATAATGTATAAGAATACAGGCCTAGGTTATTAATGTTGCCAGGCAATGCAGAACTCCCAATCGAGCTACACTTAAAGGGCTTGTGTAATGTCACATATCGTTAGGAACAGATAGTCCGTCGCATGGTCTACGATACTCGACAGTCACTCTTCCACTTCAGCTATCAGGCTCAGTAAACTTATCCACGGAGCAGGAATGACGCTATTAAAATCTTATGCAGTTTCACTAATCCCACTGTGGCTCTTCAGTGTTTTAACCATCCGCGAAAGATATGTTATTTCTCTAAGCCTTAAAAGCGGCATTCAGTCCTTGAAATTGGAATGGTTATTCGTCTAAAATAGGTTGGTTACGATGGACTGAATACAACTTGTCGTCTTGCTATCACAGATGAGGATAAGCTGAAGTTTCACAGGCGCTGGAATCGCCATTAATAAGCACTGATTTGGATTTAGTCGATCCGAGTTGGAGGTCATTGCGTAGATTCAATCGCCACTCTTGTAATGGACGCCTACGTGTCACTGCCTCTACTGGTGTCAACTTCAGTGAACCATCTCATTTCCTTTTTTCAGACGGTTCAACCGCACCGACATTCAAAGGTTTTGTTTTCAACCGTTTCTACTAATATGGACAGGGTAAATTTGTGCTTTTTTTGTTAAAATTACTTTCAATGACCTACTCTTTAGCCTTTCTCCTCCCCTTCCAGCCAGCCGCACGTCGATTTACTTTCACTGTGAGTCGGCGGTTTTGTGTAAATAGACTGTACCAACGCCCACTAACTTTATATGCATTTAAGCTGTTCCTCGTTTTAATATTTGTAAAATATACGTTTTTTATAGGATTCATCCCTTCTCCCTTGACGTAAAGAGCATTTGCGTTGTTTGTTGCGTTTTTAGTCTTTTTAATCAGTGCATCTTGGTGTATATCCTTGAAAGTCATCGTCAAGACGGGATGTTAACCTAGAATGAGGAATGGGTTAGGACAGATCATATTTCATCTATTTATTGTTGATAGTCCTATGATACCAAACCAGCTTCCTTGATTATAAAATGCAGCTTTAATTATAAAGAAACTATCTTCCTTGACCCTGGGAAGTTGGGGATTGTTCCGAGAGTTCATTGGTTCATGCATGAAATGTAAACTCTTACTGATACTGATATTTGAGCGTAGCATACAAAGGTGCAGAAGATCTCAACTTTGCTGTCTCGTTCGTGAGTTCTGCGTCTGAGACATGATTCGAACGCTTCGAAGGTACCTCTCATAGAATCACCATGTCAATGTCGACATCTTTGAACAGCGACAGGTGAGTTCTTTTCCGTCATTAGGTGTCATCCTCTTGTTTGTCAGATCCTGCTCAATTTTTCAATTGTTGAGTGAAATTTGTTGTTGCCCTCAGCTAAATCTGTAGATCTAGTCCATCACAGTTCACTGCTGTTTCCTTTTGGCATCTTCAGGCGCGAGGGTCCTTTTTTTCCCGTGAGAAGCGATGCAAATGGATTCAGAAAGTATCGGATAAGAGACCAAGAGGTAGTAGTAGTACCTTCAAGCTTAGTAAATCAAGTTGACGCATAATTGAGCACTGAATACCAATTTGAAAGTCATGGCGACAAACAACTTCAAGTTCCCTGTAATTCGTCATTACAGTGGGCCACTACCTACCATCATGGCTTCCAATTCCCCAGGCAAACGACATCAAGCTTTTAGATCGTAGGTCGCAAGACGATAGATCACGATCTATAGGACTCGTTACAGAAACAAAGGAGGTCCACGGATTCGACGACCACCTTGATGGCATGTTTACAGCCTTTCTGCTGTGTGCTGGTGCCAAACCTTCTTCCATACCCACGCGCCTTATTGCGTGCCCAAACCACCTTCATCATCATCATTCAGTCCAGTTCCGCAAATAAGGCAACCAGACACGTAGAGCAGACTTATGAATATATTTATAGTGATGCTCTTTGCACGAGGACAAGAGAAAGAAGAAATACCAGTGTAAAGGGCTGAGTTGACAGGTGTGAGCGAGTAAGTATACAAGGCGTGAGATTCGACACTTGTCTGTTCTTCTGCGGTCTGTCTTTCATTCTGATTTTAGAGTTGGGGTCACGCACGTATTTCGAGTAGTAGTGGTATATGTATATACACAGGAAAGAAAGTAGGGAAAGGGAGAAGAGGAACCTATTCCATGTCTTCTACGTCAGCTGCCACAGAGCCGAAATGCGATGGTAGAATGGCTAACCTTCCATTAGCCAACTAACTTTACAACTGCACCACGAACATACCCCGTGATGAGGGCTGGCTACCAGTCACGTAGACCGGCGCACGACCATTCCTCGTTGTTGAACACAGCCCATTCGGTTGAACTTGAGACTGCTGTTGTTGTTGATGCTGCTGAGGTTGGGGTTGTTGTATCGGTGGTGGTGGTGGTGGCCGTTGTTGCTGCTCCTGGTACTTCCTTTGGTAGATTTGTTGTGTCTTCTCATATCCATTTATGCCAGGGAACGGAGCCGGGAACTGCGGCTCACCTCCGTTGTTGTAAGGATAGTTTTCAACATACCCTCCCCCTCCTCCTTGCTGTTGCTGCTGCCAATAAGGTGTCGTCGTAACCGGTGGCGATATCTCCTTAATACTTGACGGAGCCATTAGCGGTGGACTCCACGTGGACGGCGTCTGCGGGGATATCCGATCCTCCTGTTTCAGTACCCCGCTGCTACTGCTACACACCGAAGGATCGGGTTTAATGGCGTCATTGCAAAAGGACTTTTGGTGCCACTTTTCACTTCCCGCTGCAGTTGTAGTTGGGATATCTCCAGGAGGGGAAATTTGGGAATTTTGGTAGTGTGGAGTGTACTGCGTTGATGAGGTGGCGTTGTCCGTTCCGCCTAGAGCTGTGTCCACCTCAGAGCCAGTGGCCTCTTCCTCCGAGTTGCTGGAGGTTGCAGAACTCTCACTGTCTCGTCGTTCCTTTACGGCTGGATGGCGAGATGTTGAAGCTCCTGAAGACGAGGGATTCCTCCTCTGCTTATATTCCATCAATAGCGCTAGCATTCGGTTGAAGCCCCGGGATTTTGCCTCGCTTATTGGAGAACTGTCGGTGTAATCGAAAACATCGATCACCGCATGATGTTCCAGCAGGATTTGTGCTGCTTCAAGAGAGTTTTCCCTTACTGCCAGCATAAGTGGAGTTCTGTCACAGTCGTCTCTTGCCTCCAGCATTCGTGAAAATCCTTTCGTGTGCGAGATGCGAGTTAGAAGCGGTGCTGCATTCAAGACTGCCGCCCAGTGAACAAGATTTCTACCCGTCTCATCGACACCTTGAATGGAACAGCCCTCATCCAGCAAGAGTTTGGTGACCTCTGTGCACCCAGCTTTAAGAGACACCATCAGCGGTGTTGATCGTCGAGACTCCACGTGCCTTGTGCGTCGTCGAGCTTCTGTGGAAGGTTTTTCACTAGAAGCTCCTGCACTTTCCGCGGTGGATACCGGAGGTGCAGACTGAGAACTAGCAGCACTTCTACTGCAGGTAATCGCCTCTCTTTCTAACCGATACAGCGCGGTGGTAGTTTCAAGACCGTCAGTAGCTGCCGAGGCTGTCAGGGGAGATCTGCCATCTTTGTCCAGACAGAGAAGAGCGAGAGTTTTCTCAGCTGAAGCCGCAGTACCCTCTTCAGAAACCAGGGTTCCACAAAGTCGACGAATCGCTCTTGCACCGACATTCATCCGGGCAGCAAGGTGGAGTATTGTCTCCCCATTTAAGGGATTCCGTGTGGTAACGAATGAATCCTGCTGTTGAAGCTTCTCCACCCCACTGCTGATGCCACGAATCGTGGAGGTGGTTCCGAACATTGCTTGGTCAAAATCAGAGGCCTCCATGGTTGAAAAGGATCGTTTGAGATGGTGTTGATGCATGTACTGTTGTTGGGGTGGTGGGGGAGGGGCTAGGGAGTGCTGACTGCCTCGTATCACCACCTCCAGTTTGGAAAGTGCCTCGGGGCTGAGGGTATGAAGACCGTCGGAGGCTCGAATGGTGCTGGTCAACTCCGCAGTGACGGCAGTGGCAGGATCAGTTTGTTGAAGAGGACGGGCATTGGAACTTTGGAGGGTGGTGTAGCCCCGCTGGTAGCTTTTCTGGGGCAGGAGACTGTGAGACTCATCTTGGTAGCTTTCCTGAGTTTTGATAATGAAAGAGAAAAAACACTAGTTGATAATACACCAGCATCTTCTAGCTCTCCTGCAACATCAATGATAGCACTTGCAAACTTTCACGAGTAATGATACCTCCAAGGCTCATTCAAACTATACTAGCGATGACGCGGCCACCTGAATCGCCTACGACTTTGTTAATGTTTTTTTAGACAGGTGCGTCCTTTTAATATTTTTAATGGTTGGTGTAGTCTAGATACCCCTAATCAAGATGACAGACAACCGTGGCACGGAATGCATGATTGGAACAGCAGAGCAGACGTCAAAGAAGGAAAAACGGGCTCGCCCACATCTACTCGTGCGTAGGGATTCACGCACAACATAGTAATGATGGAACGCTCAGCCACCCAGTTAGGCATGTAAATGCTGTAGATGTTTCAACGACATTCAGGCGTCGGTACGTCAGTGACGATTAGCTCCATGATACCTTCGTTTCCAGCCTACGACGGAGTAGCCATGTCTGTAAAACATCCGGCTAATGCATGAAATACCTACTCCTGGAGACCTGATCGACACAGCTTGTCTCGAAAATGTTAAAGACAAATATTTCTATGGGGACGGTAAACACAAACATGTCCGATTTCGAAAAGGAGACCTCAAGAAAGTAATGAAGTGGGCTGGCCTATTATAGTTCAAGCATAATCATAAGTCTTAAAACTAACAGAAAACTTTCGTTGAAAATACAATAGAGGCGATTTGGGAGCGTTATGATTAATGAGATGAATCCAGGAGAAGTAAACTTTCAGAACTCTTAAAGATTGCTAAAAACCTACAGTTGTTGAGGGTGAATATCGAGCCCGTTTGCCGCCTGGCTGAAGTAGATCTTCCAGTTGTGAGGCAGTAGTCTTGGCAACAGACTTGTGGCCTTGTTGAAGAAGGATGCCAGGATCTGTGGAGAGCGCGGGAGCTCTAGAATGTCCACCACCAGAGCCGCTGCCTCCACCACCACTGGAGGAAAAGAAAAGGGATGGCGGCGACCAGATTCCGTGGGTTCGGACTCGTTTACGCGCCTGTTTCCAGGGTCGACGTTGAATCACGATGAAGACGAGGAGGATAATTACGGCTGGAGGACAAAACGATGCTTTCCTCAGTTGTGCGTTTAACTACGATGCCACTAATCCCTCAGCCCTTTCGTTCGGGCAGCATGCCTTAATAATGTGTTCAGAGATAACCGTAGTCTACCATCTATAATGCGACTAGATGCGCTTATATGAGCTGGGCCTCTTTTTTGCATAATTTACTTCACTTCCCCTCCCTTCAATTTAAAATGACAATTGTGACAATAGAAGAGACAATGATAGCGAAAGCAGCAGAATTGGCAATTTTGCATACATACGAATGCAAATGCACTCTACAACACCAAAGACGGCGGTCGTGCTGAGGCTTCTGCCTTTTGCTGCCCTCAGGAACTGCGAATCCTAGGGGGGCTGCATAATTTGGGCTTCTCCCTTATCCTCCCCCCACCCTCCACTTGTCGCAAACCGATAAATAAAGAAACCAGACAATTGTGGCTGTCTTGACGTGGCTTTCTACACACCAATAAAAATGAGACACTTGATGCAATGAGTAATGAAGTAAGGTGCCGGTACCCCCCTCCTGGCCACTTTTGATTTCTTGACTCTTGTAAAATCCACTGTGCAGCACTAGTTTTCCTCCTGGATAAGTTATTTACTGAAGGAAGCGGTCTATGTTGGAAGGATTGCGTTTCTGAAAAAGAAGACGTTAATTCTGAAACAGGGATATTCGACACATGGGGGATCTACAGATAAGATCACGATGACAGGTGTAGTGGAATGGGATATATCTAAGTAATATGGAGTGTGGATTAGCAGAAAGGCTGGAGGAGGCTACTACTTAAGTAATATTGCAGCGATAGAGAAATTTTGTTGTAAACCCGAGTGTTTAACATTCAAATAGTATCATGAGTAATTTTAAAGAAGCAAGACCCCCTAAAATTATTTACTAATCTTAAAAAGCGATTTAGTGTGCAATTTTCCCCAAAGATGTGACTTTATGATACTTACCTACAATATAGGTGGGTTCGTTAAAAACCCATCGGCTTTATCCGTCGGAAAACGCTTTGTCTATAAGGAAATGAACAAATTCGACCTGGTCACTTCCACTTATTCCTCCTGCCATCCAATCATGTGACTGTCTGCTGGTATTGGAGCGGGCTATGCTGCAAACATCAGACAACCTAGACTGACTTCACAGAGAAATTAATGAAAAACCGCGAGGTGCTCTTCTTCCCCTGCCACAGTGATCACTGCGTGCCTCGGCTCCAAGTTGATCCTACCTGCTGAAATGCGTGAGATCAAGCTGCTATTGGTAGATGGAGAAGTTGAGTGACACTTTGAGTGTAGAAGAATGTGCATGGTTAACTCAGGTAACAGTAAACATGGGGCTATTCTGAAGTCGCACAGATGAGTAAAGAGACACCAAGGTGCACAGACCGCATGAAAAAACTGCAAATTTTATCATCAAACAGGAGATACAAGAGAGTCACAAAAAGTGTCAGTCACCTCAACCCCCCTGCCATTCCTCCGACTCTCGGAGAAGTCGTGCATCACAACCCTAATGTTCGAGTGAATGAACAAATGGAAGGAGAAGTGGTAGGGGAACACATCCAGGCCCTTTCTTACATCCAAACAGAGGGGCGAGGGGGGACGAGAAGCGAAAGCCCGGATTCTAGGTGGGTCTGTGCCCATATGCATTACGCTTATCATCGCGCCTGAACGCCGTGGTTACAAAGAAAAAAGGCCACCCTTTCCGCCTGTTTTTCCCCTCTAACCGCATACACCATAGTGATAAAAAAAGCACGATGTAAAATACTGGAAGAGGATACACATAAAACATGGACGCAATGACCAGCCAGCCGGTCGGTTGTACACACACACACACACACGCAGCTGTTCGTACCTTGAGAAAGTGGTTTTTTAAAGCCCCTCCGAGGAATGAATTCCCTTAGCCTCCGAATCGTGCTTTATTGAGAAATCGTTGAAATACACAGAAATAATGCGGATGTTCATAGAACTTTGCTATCCCTAAAATTGAAGCCTTTCCGCGTTCATGAGCAACAGGGGGTTGGGACTTAACTGAAATTTGCTATTCAACAACAGCCATGATATCGGGACAAAAAACACACCATACAAATACGCCTCTGTGTATTGCCACGTTCTAGTACCTCTATATCTACTAGGCTAAAAACGGTTTTCATGCCTGATCAGTCATTCCATTTTCGAGTCTTATAGAAAAAGCATTCACTTAATACAAACTTTCACCTTTTATCTCCCCCCCCCCCCCGACTGTGCTAAACTAACGATTTTGATGTGGAAGTCAACCGCAGGAATGGTTAAGAAGCATACAACGATGATTAGGTCAAAATTCCATCAGAAAATACAATTATATTGCCTTATTCAACGTCTACTTATGCATAATCAAAGTGCTACGGTACAGTGTGCATCAAACATCCGCATTAGGTTTGAAGTGGTGAAATACCAGACGGTCGAATAGGCAGGATGAAATAAAACAAGACAAAGATAGCATGCCAATGCCATTTACCTTAGTCTAGCCAGCCCCAACCTGTCTACAAATCCATGCCACGTTTATAAATAGCTAAATCCAACACCTCATCCACCATCTCCACCGTCGCTCCTTCTCCTCCCCCCAACCCCGGACCTCTGCTGGTATTACCAAAATACACCAAATAATTATATATGCATGAAAGGCCAATTGGCCACCGGCATTCCTATCATTTTGCAAGACAAGGTGGTAGACAATCAATTTCCGAATAGACTCACCTCCAGAGAGGACACAGAGAACGATGTAGAGACCAATAGCATCCTTGGATCTAAGAAAGGGTAGACCACCGGGGGTGGCTGGAGTAGTCTCTCCTGGTGGTGGGGCATAGGGGTCTTTGGCGACCCATAGCTGGGCAACAGGGAGGGGTAAGTCGACCGATTTTGTGTCCAATGCGGCTTTCAAAGTGTGCGCCGCTTGATCAATGGATTCGTAGATCTCTCCGGGACTGGCTTGAAAGCCTTCAGGCAAGAGATCGATTACAAAAGTGACCTGAAAAGGAATAAGTTCTTATAACATTTCAGTAGAATGTTCCTCGAGGCTTTGAGTGTGGTTAGACACTCACTCGGGTACGTCTACCATCATCCACATCAAGAATGACGGGTTGTTGAGTTTTCTCGTCAATAGCAGGACGAACAACAGCACGGAGAAGGTCTGCAACATGAGCCAGAATTGTCCTCTCCAGTGTGGAATAGGTGGATTTATCAGTGTTCAGAATGAGGCCTATGTAACCGGTTCGGATATTGTCAACTTGGGGAGAAAGGGGATCAATAGTGGCCAAGCAGTCGCCACCGTCAAAGCCACAAACTGGGACGTTACACTCCGGTTGACAGACACCGTCACCGTAGACAGATGTGCAGTGCTGCTCCGAGGGACAGGTTGACCTGCAAGGGTAAAAACGCTACTCATTAGCAATGAGTACCGATTGATGAGGGTGATGATTAGCATTTGATAGGGGGTTAAAAGATCAGCGGACCGCACCACACCGCATCACAAAATGAAAATTCCACAGCACGCATCTGCCTAATTAGGCATCCACGAAGGGGCTGAATATTCCCACGTTTTCGCGATTTACAACATCTTTCAGTAAAAGTAATAAAAACCACCAAGCAGGAACACACTAGCTTGATCGACTTGCAGTGACACTAGCGCCCCCTATGTGTGTGCCATTCAAAAAGGGAGAATTTATCACTCAATAGATCATGTACTTTGCAATTTTTAGGGAATCGACACAACAGTAGAGCGTCAAGCGAAGTAGTCGAGTCTTCGAACCAAGTCCAATTTGGGCGGGATACGCAGATCTTCAAGCGCTCGTTTTAAGTTGGTGAATGACCAATTAACCGAACATCTATGAACCTGCTCTTTAGCTAAATGATGGTGTAAACTTCTTTTGAATAATGAATTAGCTTCTTCTACTTTTTATAAAGCACAGACCAAAACATTCCGACTGCCTCTAGGACAGCACTATTAAGCGAATCATAGGAGAACGGTCAAACTGTGATAAAATTATGCACACTTTTTACATCTTAAGAGATAAAAACAGTTCTCTGGGTCTACAATGGGCCTGTCAGTGTTAAATAATCCATAGGAGCACCTTTAAAGCACTGGTATTTACCTAATAAAAGGAGCATGTGACTTCCCCTCCATCTCGCATTTTGGAATGACTATTTACGCTTTTTTGCAAAAAAATCGCTCAAAGGTGATTTTCTAGACACTTGCTTATTTCCCTACCGACCCATGATCTTAACTTTTTGATCGCACTGATAGCTGAAGTTCTAGCGTGTTTGCAAGAGACTCCAGTAACCTAGTAACAACGTTGGCAATCTCGAAGGTAGTAAAATGAAGGTGTTACATCAAATCACTCCCACTAATTTTTGATCAGCGTAGAACCAAGGCATAACATCGTCACCAAATGAGCAGCAATGTCTCGAAATGTGACTATCTCTGTGAGAAATAAGTAGTGGATAAATGAGCAGCCAGTCGGTAGTTTAGTAGATGAGCGATTTTAAGTAGATGTGCACGCACAAAAGCCTGTTGTTTGACGGGCATGCGAAATAACAGTACACTGTCCAAATACCACCTTCGACTAGTTTATTTTCGAACATAAGAAATGCTTTATGAATACACAAGAAGCCGTGTGAAAATAGACGTGTTTGCACTGCCTGCCTGCTTTCCCGCCTATCCATCTTTCCCAAACAATCAGGATTATCTTCCCTTTGTACTGGGGTATTCATTTGAAAAAAGTTACAGATCTGATCACACGCAGTACCTCTCCCTAAGTAACGTTTTCACATGGTTGAAACGCGCCTTAAATTCGCCCTTCCGCCTGTACTCCCATAGATCTTTACCGGCGTCACTACCTTCATAGAACAAACACAAAAGGGCAGTGAAAACCATTCACGAACATATAAACATTTTGCATTCACTTATCAACAAAACTTCTTGACCAATTCCGCCACGAATCAAGTGACTTTTTGTCAGAAGAAATGACAAAATTCTGCCTTAAACTTCAAAAGTATCCTCCAAATTTGATGTTCCTTTGTTAAAGAAAGGTTCACAGTTGGCTGTAATTTTTTAGCCACACGTTTTAGGGTTTGGTTACATCGCAGACAAAGTGAGTTACCTACCTAGAATGCAGTTTTTGCTCTGTCGAAGAGACTTTTAAGTTGACCGGGAATCAATTCCAGAAAACACCATTCGTCCACATGGTTGCATCCTCATTTCTTCCGTTAGCACGATCACCATTGGACTTCATGAGCGACTCCACGGGATAAACTTTACAACATGGATGATGCAATGACTCTACTTGCCCAAACACGCTTTGGAAAGCACACTACAAGGGCAGGCGATTTACTGGAAGTAGTCGACTACCAGTCGATAGTCCTCACTGTTTTCAATGAAAATTTAGAGTCTTGTATATCTTGAACCGCTAAGTGATTTAAAAGTATGATTAGATGAAAGCAAAATAGGGCCAATCCATAAAAAAGAAAACAGTGTTAGACGACCGACTAAATAGCACTATAATTATTGGGTTTACGAGTAGTAAGCAAACGCATCTTTGAATAAAGACTGGGTACATGCAAAACGAAGAAAAAAAACAGGTTAGAGCATCATTCAGGCATTCTTACCCGGCATCCGTACAATCGAATCCATCGTAGAAACAGCTTGCTATCGCACACTCGTAATCACAGACGCCATCGCGATACCGTTCGACGCAGGTCGGTTGGCCGACTCCAAAATCCACTTTTGTCGCCTCAAGGCAGTCAATCCATTCTCTGCAGGCATTCAACTGTCCCTGATTAAAGCAACCAGCTTGGATGCACCGTCCAGAACAGGTTCCATTAGTCTCATCAGGATTGGGGCAGCCCAGCAGCACACAGTGCTCTTCCAGGTCGTTTTGAGCATCGCGTTTCTTATTTGATTGGTTGGAAGGGGCCTGATTGATTGGTTGTTCGCATAGGACTCCCTCAAAGCCTACAAAACCAAACGATTTAAAAATGGCATTTTAGATATCATTTCCCTTTAAAATATCATATCATGGCTATGCTCTTAAGAAGAAAAAGGGAGCAGGAAGTGCTTTGGATGTGGCAAGAGGCGAATTTTCCACGTTTCAAGACCTTTTCTTTTGCCAAGAAATTTTGCTGACGCATTCCAACTTTGTGATCGCGATGTAAGGGCTTGTGGGGTCAAAATGGTTGTAAGGAACAGATAAGACGACAATTTTACTGTTTTGCTTACAATAAATAATCGTCCGAAACATTTAGGAACGGAGAATATGTAGCCACGCAGATTTAGAAGTGAATGTATTTTGACCATAGAAATAGGTCTTATTAACGAGATTTTAACTAAAATCCAGTAGTATCACTTTAAATGCATATACGATTTTGTTATTTGACCTTTAAGGCAGCATTATGAGCCTGGCTTGTGATCCAGTCTCCCTTCCACGCCTATAATATAGTCACAGTTCTCAGACCCCACATTTGTAGCATATTTACCTCAAAAATGGCAATGCCCTCGATTTTTACTAATTAGATAAAACAGCGAAGCGCCATAGATGGAAGGCATCCACTGTCGGTAGATGAGTCTATAGAGACATAAAGAAAGAGCGCCGAGTAGGAGCGCTGAATGCAAAATTCAATCGCATAGAGAGCTGTGTAGGGTGGTATTCGCTTCAAAGACACATGTAACGACGTAGGTCTATGTAGTCTGCCACTCAAGCGCTATAGACCATACCCCTAAAGCACTCAGCAGTAATAAATTATTTTGCTAGCAAAGCCCACCTTCAGGACAATGGCATTCATAGTGATCACCCATTCCAACGCACTGGGCACCATTTTGACACTGGTGATGTAGGCAGACATCGAAGGGACGGTCACAGAAGACACCCATCCAACCAGGATCACAGTTGCACCGAAAGCCCGAGATTCGGGAGGCCGTCTTAGTCTGGTTCTGTACACGAGTTTCGAAGACCTCGTAAAGTGTTTCGCAGGTACCATGTCGACATTGATTATGCGCCGATTCACAGGGCATTTTGGGCTGAAGATTGTAAACAGGAAGGATTACTGGCTGATGATCCGTCAGTGTCTCGTCTTTAACTGTTTTTTTAACGTCTCGATGTCGATTTATTTGACAGAGAGCTTAATGCGGTAATAAGGGCATGCGATACGGTCTGCTTGGTTACTTCTAGACGAAGGCACCTAAATTCATCTAGAAATTTATGAGTGTTTTAAGCTACGCCTTTTAAAAGTAAGAGAGATTGAAAAAGATAATCTGTGTCTAGATCAGAATATACCCTGGAGAGATTACCTACCTTCACTTCGGATCATACTGTGCTCACCTGTATTTATTTAAACTTACAAGTACAAGGGATTTTACAGAAATATACTAGATTGTTTTTTCCAAATTATAGTCGAACTTTACTGTCCCTAACACCTGTAGTCTAACGTTTTTAAAACGCCTATGAATACTGATGCTTCTTACAGCTTTTGACAAAGCATCCACTGGGAATTATTCAATCCAACACCACTTTTATTTTATTAGATCCGAATACCTATGGAAATGTATATGGTTTTCCGTGCATGTCAATGCAGATACTTGTTAAATGACATGTGAAATAAATGCTTTTGTTTACATGAAGCAGGTATCGGTCCATCAGTAATGTACTCCAAATTGTGTTCTCCACGATGTCCTTATTATTGTTAACCCTCATCAACACACAGCGGTGGTTCAACCCTAAGCGTGTGATCTAATGTTCGGCTCCAAAGCTGCAGAATCTGTCTTCGCATATATCATATAGAGAATGTTCAGTATACGGTACTTGTCTTCATCTACATCAACTGACAAGGGTAAGAAAGTCGTGGTGGAAGTTACTCACCCTAATGTGTCCCAACCAGATGGCGACTAATAAGCTTCACTTCACTACTTCCACTTATATTATGGAAACGTGGAATGCGTTTTTGATTGTCAGCCGACTTACTGATATGTGATGGGAAGCGGTTTCGGTATTCCAATATTTGTGAAGTGAACGGTGACAGTCGTAGACGCCTCTCTACCCTCCCCCCTCCCCCCAAATGATCCAATCAGTGATGCCCACCTCATACTGGATTCCGCACACTCAGCATATTCCACGTCACTTTTTTGGGTTGTTCCAACTCCTCAAGATTCATTCCAACATCACTGCCTCCTTGTTTAACTATTGCGTATCAGGCGGATAAGGCCAAAGGTGAAGCGGACCTAAGAAGCATCAAGATGAACCACTTTCCGTGGACACAATCAATTTTTTTTCTTGCAAGGATTAATTTCCTTTGCGTGAACTTTTACTTGTTTATCGTTAAATAGTCCTCGCAGGTGACGTTGTTCGCGCTTCGGGTCAAATAGGGTCCAAGAAGAATACATAGAAAGGTGTCATGGTTGGAGTTGATGCAACGACACCAGTAGAGGCAAGTTTGGCCAAATCTTGTATTCTATTACATCACACCCGCTTTTCATCAACAAACTAGGTTAAGCTTCTGATATTCACTAAATGGTAAACTTACTTAACGTAAGGAATGCCTCAGTGGTAATCTAAGCAAGCCTGGAATGGACAAAATAAACTCAAATCCCCTCCCAGTCACGAATGAAACGCATTCTTCTTTCTAAAGTTAAAAAACCACATGTACAACGAAATGGAGCAACGCAGCGGCAGTAGTGGAAGCTGAGGAAATCAATGCAAACACACAAATACACATTCACCCACGAACTACCTAGGTATGCATTAAACTGACATTTAACGGTAGAATGCCTAGTGAACGTGTGGAGGAAGGAGGGTAAGAGTGGTGGAGAAAGGGTGGAAAACAATGACAAGCGGCGAGATAGGCCAAAACAAGACAATGGGACTTGCTTTTTCACAGTTCTGGCCCTCATACCAACGCGGACAAATGCACTGGTAGACACCGAGAGGAGAGGAGTCGCAACGCCCATTGTTTTGACACGGTGAGTCCAAACACGGGTCTCGGAATTCGCACTTTTGACCTAAAGAGTAGAGTATGTTTTCCAGGTGAGTCAGAGATGGAGAGAAAATGTGGAAAGATGTGGAGTGCTGGCTGGATCCACATTGGAATATGGATAAATCCGAAGTTTTTAGATGAGCCTAAAGTAAATAAATAGATGAGTGGAATAGATGAGCAACATGGAGTAGCATATGTGAATGCTGGAAGGATAAAAGAAGCTTAATCTCTGGTGTACCAACTCAGAGTTCCTAAGCTAAACTGTGAAGTTATGAAGCAACGGATTGATTGTTGCCTTAAATGATTGAAACAGAAAGAAGCCTCAATCCACGCTTTGCCTTCAGTCAATTGTATGGCTGCCTCTCCACTCATTCCCAATTACGTGTCTTCGCTCGGTGCCATAATTCTGCGCAATCATCTTGAGAATGGAAGCTGGAAGCCGGTAACAGTAGACTGTCATACTCAAAATGAATTGGTGGGTGAAGGAGCACAAGAATCAGCTTTCTCAGACATTTGTGTGTATGAGAACAGAAGCGGAGGTGTGGGAACAGCAGTGCTCCCTGAACCACGCTTTTCTTTGAAAAGGCCCCTAATCAACTGACAAGGGATTATTGCCACTATTTCTTCATTTGTTTCTTTATTTTTTAATCTCATAAGAATGGGCATCTCTTTTTTGCAGCCAATTTAGTTAAATCGCCTGTGATTTTGTGTGAGAAAATTCTTTAAACAGAAATGACGATTGATAGAGGCCTTCCGTGTATCAGTAGCTTTGAACAAGGGACTAGCTCTGAGGTGGCATCAAAGGCCTCTCTTAAGCACCAGCCTACCGCTTAAAGCCACGCCGCTATCAGACTGGTCCAAGTTTGTACGTCTTGCTGGAGAAAGCATCAAAATTCTTGTTGATTCGCGCCTTGTGAACTTACTTTCATCCAATGGATGGATGGACGTCTACTCATTGGAGAGTAATGAGGAGAATGAGATGTTTGCTGTCACCACAATTGTGAAAAAAGGTTTCCTTCCGAAAATACTAATTCATTAATAACGTTCTGCCAAAATAAGCTGATAAAAAGAATATTTACTGTGGCCTCTTCCGCCACCTTTTCTACTAACCTCAGTGTATCCCACTTAAGTTACACAACTTGCCAGATAAACACAATAAGCTGATGTCATTTATGAAGACCGGAGAATGCAACTTGGCTTCTCACTCATTCATACAAAAGAATTGTATTGTCTCAGCCTCAATTTTCTTAGCAAGTGTCAACTACTTAACTCGAGAAGAGAGGGTAGCATTCCACAAATACCATAGAAGCTCAATAGTCATCGAAGGCATCCTTAGTCTAGTTTGGGAAACACATGTATGACCTCCCTCTGCTATAAAAAGAACCGCCTGCCCGTCTTAAAGTCATCGATCCTCTAAAATGTGTACTTTCGCAAACCACTACTCATGGGTTAAATAAGTAGCATTAAAAGCAGAACTCACCAATAAAGCCTTCGCTGCAGTGACAGACGAATTGTGCATTGGGTCGATCCTCGCATTGCCCACCATTGAGGCAGGGATTGCCCTTACAATCGTCCACATTGACAGTGCAGTTGACACCCTCCCACCCAAAAGGGCAGTCGCACTCATAAGGCAGAAGGTTTTGCGGTTCAAAGTAGATGCTCTGGGGAACCACTCGCTCTCGACATGTCGCACCGTTCTTACAGGGTTGTGCATCGCACGCGTTGGCAGCGTCTGAACAGTGGACAGAGAAGAGATGCAACAAAGTGTAAAGCGGTCACGCATTTTTGCGTCCCTTACCGAGGGTACATTAATCATGCCTTCCCCTTTCTCTCGCTTTCACTGCTCAGGGAGAACAATAGGCCGTTGTAGGAGAGAGTCACTACTCCTACCACTTCTACTTGTGTGATTAATGCTCCCTTTCTCCCTATCTTTCAATGTGAACGGGCCATTTGCTTTGGTGTTGGCGACTGGTTGGGGCTTTTTTTATCATCTCAAAGTTGTACTTCCTATATCTCTCCCCTTTTTTCTCTCTTAGAAACGGAAATAAACAAAATTCACATTTTTAGTTTAGCAATAGAGCAGTTAAAGTGTGTAGGTGAACACATAATTCAAACCGGGACCCCTAAGTTAATTAAGGAAAAGAATGGATTTCTACAAGTGGACACTTCATGTACTTCCTGATATGGTCGCCTGTTCTAGCGCTTTACACTGTCGTGCTTAAACAGATTCCCTTAACTATTTGTGGTCATCTTTTCCACAGAACAATTGGTCTCTAAACAATTGGTCTAAGCGCAATTTTACGACGATTTAGCTATACGTGGACCAGGCGGTCAGGTTTATCTGTTCCACGTGCTAGCTGGATGTTTGCAGTCCTGACTGTTTCGCCGTGGGCTGGCGACCGCCACGGCTGAGCTCCGCATCACAGTAGCATGTCAGGCAAAATGCAAAATAGAATATCCTCGGGTTTTACGTCCCAGATCATAAAAGACTTCACCACTTCAAGCTGTTCCATTAATGTGTTCAATCCCATCGGAACTGAAAGCGCTTGGACAGGGTGGCTTCAAAAGGTGTGCGGATGACAAAATTGTCACCCAATACAGCCAGAGTAGCATAAGCCTATAAATTTAAAAGCTTCACTATGACTAGAGCCCATCATCGGACCGGAAATTGTTTGAATGAGCTCTTGACTACCTACCAAGCCATAATTGGAACCTGAGCGGCTAGTAATAAGATTAAAGGGAAGTGGATGTAAAATAAGAAACAAATCTAGAAGAAGAAAGAAGCCGGACACCTAAAAGCATTTCTCTGTGTCTTGGACTAAAGACTAGTAGCTACCTCCTCAAGCTCTTCCAAGCTCCCGCGAGCAAGTTAAGATGTTAAGTGATGGTGGAAATCAGCTCCACAGATTAGCCCTTAACACCAATGACTGGATGAGGTGCTGACTTGCAGTGGGGACAGGGAAAAAGTTGTATCACATCTGATTGAACAGACTGAGTGCGACTTAACTAAACTAGTGGATTGCGAGGCCTCAGGGCATTTAAAAGGTCCACTACATAACACGCACGCACTTGACAAAGTTCTGTCAGTAATGAGAGTACCGCCCTTGGTACTTAAATCCGTCTCTTATGTGGTTCCTGCCTACCATCGTAGATAAGGTGGAAAAATCTTATTTTTTAGTGCCTGAAGACAAGGCTCTTTCTTTCTCAATGGACTCAATGTAAGAATTTACTAATTTATTGTCCATTTTTACCAATGGTGTAATACCGACTGACAGTAAAAAGGCTCAAAGCCCAGACAGAATCCCCTGCTTACTTGTGGTACAATAAAAAGGATATTTTACCCAAAGTCAGTCACTTTATCAGCTATTGCAGGGAACGATGTTTGTGTAATGGCACTTACCGGAATTCCGCAGAACAAGCAAATTGTATTTAAAGAAAAGGAAGTTCGAGTTGTATGCCTGCTTTGGGACGCAAAGCTTGTGGTCCAGACAAGTTATGTAGCCGTGCCACGGTTATTTAGTCCGCATCACTAATTATTTCGATTTTGGGCCTGAAGAGCTCCCAAAACAACGGAAGAATACTTGAGAAAGCTACTGTGACGTCCACGAAATGGTAGCATAACTGTGGCCAAAAAGTACCACTATCCCAAAATGTCGCAGGCATTTTTCATCCTTCTTGGGTGGACATTGACGACTTATTACCCTTAACTGTCCATGAATTTGTAGTGTAATGAGTCGTCGCTTCACAAAACAATTAATTTGGATGTATTTCAAGGTTACATGGTTTGTGGCCATTCAAATTTCTTCCATGATGTCTCCTCAACTTGGTTATTACTCCTGACCCTCCGTCTTAATAATTTGCTGCTATTCTGAGTCTTAGTATTCCATTCAATCCAACAAATTCAATCGCGATGAGGGCAAACGCATTTTTTTTCAAACATCCTCAATCGTAAACATCTTCTCTGCATACATAGAATGGAACAGAGCGGAGGCTAGTGTAGAAGTGTTTTGCTAGTAAGCCAACTAGAGAGAAAGGCGGAGGTACTGGCCTTTTTTTCAGTCTTAAATACTACTGATACACGAATGTTGACGATAACGCCGATGATTAATAAAGACTCTTGCAAAAACGCGTGCGTACAAGTATGCAAACGCGCGCTTACGTACGCACGTAGACATGCACGCACGCACGCGAGTTTGCATGACTGTATGTGCACACGCATGCACGCACGCAGGCATGGACGCACTTGTGCATGAGTGGCGAGTGAAGTGAGAGCTTTGTTCACCGGCTCGACTAGTAGGCATGCTCGTGTTCCACTAAAACAATCGGACACAATTCTGATGGATGCGTAATTACTCGACACCTTGGAGGCATTTGCCACTCCCAGTTCCTAGTCTCCCCACCCTTCACGACAACGCACTAACTGAGAGGCAGCACCATGTGTCTGGTATGCACGGCAATTAGGCATAATGAACGAGGGAGCAATGATGATTCGATTTGTTATCTTCCTGCCCACCATTATCTGCCTAATCATATACAAGGATACAACACCTATCTCTTCCAAAAGACTGTCTCAGCCCTTTCTCTTATAGGTACTCCATTTCTGCTCTCTAAACTGGTTGATGGTGAATGACCGAGGCGGAAGTTAGTAGCTCGATTGTTTATTGTCATCTGGTACCAGACCATTAGCGCAGCTGCCCTAATGGTACAGAGTAACTGTACAGAGGCTCTACACAGCATTTCCTGGGAAGAGGGACATTCAAGGGTTTGATGTCTCGCCCATCATCTTTCGATGAACGAATTCATAAGGTCACCATTGACCTATTGTTTTCTACACCTAAAGTGGATAGCAACGTAGACATTATTTTCCTGGTTTTTTGGGGCAAGTAGAATGAGGCCGGGGCCCGAAAAACGCAGCAGGTGTGCTGGTTAGGAAGTGGGTCACACATGAACCGACCTAATGTGCCGACCCAGAAAAATCCACCTTCTATCCCCCCCATCATCCATCCTTCGACTTCTCTCCACATGCCCACAGCCTAGCAACTGTCTCATTGTTCGTTCTGCCAATTTCTGCTATTCTAGGTCCATAGATATGTGCCAAGAACGCCGGCAAAAGGTCTTGTATTTCTTAACCATATATATTCTTCACTAGATATTTAGGAAATGGGTGTCTTTATTAAAAGCTTCCCTTTTTCAGCCTCATTGCAGAAGCAAGAAATCTAGTATAGTCGCAGTTAAGCAGTGCTTCATCTCCATCAATTGAGTTACCTGCTAGTGATCCTGATTTCGCGTCATACCTAGATGCCACGACAGCCTTAATGATTGAAAATTTGTGAAATGGAGGAAAAAAAGTAAAAAATAGACACTCTTAGTCACGAGAAATCGTCGGAAGCTTTAAGTTCCTCCTACAATTTAACCATTAGTAACGGTACTCCAAAGTACGCTAGCCAATAAGGATCACCATCGAGTAAAATTTGGCTCGTGAAAAGGGGACACTTTGACAATTTTGCTTCCTTAAAATAAAACTTATCTAATGTAATAGTCAGTCCAAATTTCGTTGTTTTGTGAGTCACAGTGCCGTTCAAACAATGAAAGATAGCAGAACAGAAAGACAAACGAGTGAGGATTTAAACAAATAAACGGTTAAAGGAACACATCTTTGAATATGATTATGCAACTCAACAGCAGGATCATTTGTGGAGCTCTAATGCATTTTCAAAACGTCCACCTTAAGGAATCAGAGGGTGGATAGACATTGCTACCTTACTCCAAACCTGCCCAACCAGTCAATTAAACGGATGCCAACCGGGCACACGGACACAGAGACACATTCAAAATGATACAGCCTGCATTCGTGCCTGCCTGACCTATGAATGGATTTGTTTATTCAAAGGTGCTCGTCCGTTTGCGGAGTTGTAAGCGAGGGTGCCTGGGTGTTTATCTACGGTGGCACGGATTCAAACCAGAGCCAATTCGGCCGACCAGGAGAGGGGAGAAGGCTCCAGAAATTAGCTCTGCCTTGCAGGTGTGATTGGGAACTACCGCAACCAAAGGTGGTAATTCCATTAAATACGCAAACCCATGTAAGCGAACCACCATACGTCACAGACACAAGGAGGGCACAAATTCCCTACTGCGTGGCAGGAAAAAAACAGTTGTGACGGTACCCATCACCTGTTCGCCCTCTTCCCATCTAATACCAATTTTGTAAAATTTGCATAAGCGAGAGCATCAACAGTAGAGAGGCCATTTAGGCCTCGTCACCTGATTGGTTTTAGCATTGACCAACCACAGAAGTATCGGACTCGACCTAATCGATTGATTGGTTAAGTGGCAACCAATCCCACATTAGCTGGACAAGGACTACTTACCTAAGACTTGGGTAGACTCGAAAATCACCCAAATCTATTGTTATGTTGTGATTTGGTACTTATTTCGATGTGTATTAGGTAATGTAAGTTTTCCAGGCCCCGCAGTTAGTGCTTTTGCCTCCTAGCCCTATTGTGCGCCAAATTCTAAATTGTATCTCATAGTGGCATGGTTTGTTACTTCAGAGATAAATTCCTTTTGTAAAACAGTGCCAACGACTCAATGAATGAAACAGAGAAATCTTCCTAATAAACAGATCTGAAAGAAATAGGAAGATCTTCTGGTTCTGCTAATAAAATGACAGAATAAAATGAACAGTTCTAAGATGCACACTTCCCATAAAAGTATGAAACCTGTGAACCACGTCATCATTTGTCTGACAAGGGTGGTTACTGACCGAAGAAATGACCTCTCAGGACTTTACGGGATATATTGTAAGTTAAACTACAATTCGCTGACAAACTCAAGAAAATAATTTCATAAGTGAATAAATAAGAATTTAGAAAGCATTCAGACCCATGATTTTAGTGGCAACGGAATCTAAACTAAAAACCTAGCATCCGGCGGTTTTTACGATCTACGGATTATAGAAAACGTTAACATCTTAGGAAATTGGAACCCTTTCAAATCAATTACTTTAATTTCACAGGAAATCTCCTTGGTTAATTGAACATCTATTTACACAGGAAGTTGAAAATTGAGTGCAGTGATAAGAAAAAGTAGGAAGTCGTCTCAAAGTTAACAAACGATATCCCATATTTTGTTTGGAGATGGCCTGCCGACTGAACTCTCAGACTGACGCCACCTGATTTGAATGAACTTTGGATAACTTGATCTTTCTAATGGTTGGATGGGAACAACGAAAAGTATCCAAGGCATATCGTCTAAATGGCGATAAAAGTCTTATCATTTGTTTGAGGAATGACAAATTTCTTATGCATGGATCTAGGATTTACAAAGATGAAGAACCTTGAAAATAATTCAACTGCAAAACACATCCAAAACAACTTCAAATTACATGTCCAGAGAGGATTCAAAGGTTGATTACCGATTTTCTTGGGATGAGGCCCAAAAAGTAGTCCAGAATGGACAACCTTTTGATAATTCACCGACTTGATTCTGTAGATAATAAAAGGCTTCTTATCGTTCAGTGGGAGGATATTTTGACCTAGAAACCCCGTCATGATCACTGGGCGTACGTGTACTTTCCCGCGACCCATAAAATGTTTTTTTTCTAGGAAAACATCATCAACATAAGGTGACGAATTAAAAAAAGAAAATTTAAAAGCCATTTTAGCTGATTGTGGACATGACAATTGAACCAGTAATTTGAAGAACGTCTCTAAATTGGACAAAGACTCTTCCAACGTGTCTTGATGGCATCAAGAGGTTTCATTGTCCCGATGTTACATCAGCACGTGCACCACCAAAATGACTGAATCACCCAAGTATCATCCAAGCCCAGTACTCACATCTCTTCTCAATCTATTTCTGACACGATTTGTTGCAACCACTTATCAAAAACTAGTAAAAAGAGTACGTCGCATATTTGTGACGCTAGACTTTGGTAAGAAAATTGCATTTAAGCTCTACAATTTTCCATAAAGCACAAAGGTTTAGAACGGCACAGCAAGAGTTCGTCTAGGAGGCGCAGGCACCATGATTACGACCCCTTTTCCTCCTCTCATGAAGAGTGTGATGGCATTTACAAGTCCGCAATGCCGCCTATAGACAGCTGCATAGGTGTGGGTGTGTGTGTGTTTGTACGCAAGATACCCGGCTTTGAAGCAAAGGGAGTGCCGCCTTGAATTATAGCTGCATGCATCCTCGCATACGCATACATGCAACCTCGCTCATTTTCACCCTTCATAAAACTAAGTGTGTATTCCAAATGATGTGGGATGATTGGACAAACAGACCCACGGTAGTCCCTCTTTCTCTCTTCCCTTCTCCCTCTGCGTTTACCTCTTAAGGAAGCAGATGTACAGAAACACCTCATATGCACTTTGAATCGCATGAATTTGTGTAGCCTTGAGAAGTGAGCTAATTATTCATGCCACAACTATCTGACTAACTAGTGAACTTAATAGGTGATGGGGTCGTGTTCGCTTTTTTCTACACTGCCTGTGGGGAGACGACGACATGCACTGACCGTGACATTTTAATGGCCAAGCCCCGAAATGTGACGATTCACATTTACATTTGCATTTGCCCATGCCTGTGCCCCTGCCTCTGCTGTTTACCAAATGCTACACACGTAGAAAATGCTTGGCCTTTCTTTAATCATGACTACGGAGACAGCAACAGAGCTAAGACAACAGAGTTCGTCTCCAAATTTTTGTGGGTGGTATTCAATACATACTTTATTAAAGTTCGTCTTGAAGACCCAGATATTTTAATCCTATCTAGGCAATTCCAACGGTAAAAATAGAACAATAACTGCAAAATATTTCTTTATGAATGTCTTAGGGGTAGAGACTTTAGGGATAGGTCAAAATATAAGGGAACAGATGTCGTCTAATGAGGCCTTAGGAAGGAATTTTTAATAACTCAGGTCTTACTGGCAAGAATAATTGTCAAAATCAAGGAACCTGGGAACACTACATTTTTCAGCTGGGGTATTCTTTATGGAGATACGAAAATTGGAAGTGGGTAGAATAATTAAATGAACAAAGGGACAAATAAAACAAGAATTCTATGGTTAAAAAACTGCCTCTACGTGTCATGGTTAGTTCATCCTTTTTATTACGTTCATCATCTTTGCCAGTGTGGTCGCCGTCGGGGAAAACGTTTTTCGTGAACAACTTTAGGAAACAGCTGGCTTCTTTTTTCGAAGGTTGGCAACTAATAACACTACGCAAATTCTACAGGGCTATAAATAATAGGCAGCAATCATAAAAGGCCTCCAAAATGACGTGGGTTAATGTCAACCCACTTAAAACCAGCGGATTAATGCAATTAATGAGTAATTGGATTTCATGATTTCTTACTGTACGTTGTGAATATTCACATAGAAAAAAAACCGTAAATTAAAGAGCGATTTATGACTTACCGGAAGGTGGTAGATGGTAAATGAGGAGTAGGATCAGCAGGATATGTAGTCCGCGGGAGGAGAAGGTGAATTTGGTGGCTCGTGGAAGTAGAAAGACTTGAATAGGCATTGGACATTTGTACAGTCGCATTTGCAACGGCGGTTGTTATATTTGTCGTCTTTGATGAAGCAGTAGTAGTGGTAGTTATATAATCCACGGTTGTCTAAGGCATGACTTGCCCCTATGTGCGTACACGAACGGTCAAACACACTTACACGCACACGCACACAGCAAAGCACAGCGGTGAGATGTGTGATTGTGCGTGTGTTCGATAGCCTGTGTGCTCAAGCGCGTTTTTCTCCTGCAGCTGTTCCTCTCTGTGTGCGTGCGTGTAACTGCGTTATTTCTGAACCAGTCAATGCAACCTGCGTGCTGAATTTTATGTGAGTGCGTACGTGCGCGCTTTTCCCGCTCTCCTATTGGCAGTCTGACATTATTCATTCATAGGCGCAACGCGCACCTCAACCAATCAGTAGGCATGGACATCAGCTGTGCGAAATGCCGTCTTGACCAATGGTTTTATGCGGGCCCCAAACGAACACCTAATTCCAAAGTTTTGCTTAATCTGTCGATCATGAAGGGGTAGTTCAACCACCAAAGGCTATAAATGATTTATATGAGCATTTAGAAATAAACCATAGAAACCAAAAAAATTTGCCTGATTACCGAGGGAAAGTTTTAATTTCCCAAATTTTAAATCAGAAGATTTAGACCGACTCCCTCTAAAATGATTGACATTATCCTTCACCATCTTCTGATCAAGGTGGCATCGACAGATAGTGTAGTTTATTGTTCGGTAAAGACAGTTTTAGAAAAAATGACTAATCACGGTGGGAAAATTTGAGTCGACTAGAAGTTGATGAACCTTCGTCTGTTGCAACCATAATTCAGGCACGTGTGATTGGTTATTTTATAAAATACGCTTATATTGCTTAAAGGTTCAATAAAGTGGTATTAAAAAAAAGCACCTCTTTTTCGTATGAAGGCAGAGAATTTTCAAAAGACTGGCTCAAAGTTGAGTGAAAAGAAAAATGACTCGGGATGGTGGTGAAAATGGACTTTATTTTGGACTGGAAAGACTTTTTGCTTTGAAGGTGGAACCAACAGGCATTCCATAATTTTGGGTTGTTTTGCGAATGCACCATCTTTTTTAACAAAGTAGGTCTTCCTGGATGAGTATTTTATGAAACGGTATATCTACAGCAAACTATCACTGACAGAGGTTTATTTTTTGCGACAGGCGTATCATCACCGACAATTTAATATCTTGATGCAGAGGTTATTTAAAAAATAATGCAGGATCAATTGATAAATAATTCGAGTACAAAATTGTTTTTCGGAAAAAGTAATTAGGTAAGCCATGAATGCGACATGATCCGGCACAATGATGATGAATGGTAATGAGCAGGGAGCGGCTATTTTAAAAGGCAGAGGAGCGAGCAACAACATTTGACGAAATTGATAATTTTAATTAGCTATTATTTTCCATTTTCAGAGTTCTGAATAGCAATTCTTGTTGGCATTACAAAACCAAGTGTCTGCCATATTTACGTGGGATATTCGGTTCCTGGATTGTAGCAACCGGTAAGTTGGAACAGAGCTTAGAAAGTGAATAGAAGAAACAACGTTGACCCGAGGCTATAACCGACTCCTCTAAGCAAATTAAAAATCACAGGCATAGTTTTCCGCAACACAATAAATTTTCACTGCAAATTTTACCTGGCCTTCCATTTCCTTCCTCTACCCCCAACCTTAAGTGCGACGTATAATCTCTTCACGAGTAAGGTTCGCGGAGTGCGCTGAGGTGAGGTCTTGTGCTATCTTCAGATCCACCGAATCACTAGTGATAAGTGGTTCTGAAGTAGAGAGTCGGTGAATCTCAGGCATATTTATCTGGCCTTCAGGAGGAAATCTACAGTGAACAATGCTGTCCGCAGTAAATCACACTTAACACCCGTACACACACAATGCACAGCCATCTGCTGCCGCATTGGGTATGAATAGTACCCATTTGTTCACCTTTTACGTTTCACTGCAATTTTCTTTAGTAATACGAATGTAAACCATTTGCTTTCTCAGTTGAGAAGCTAAACATTAGCACAAGATATGCTTAACATGTTATTCTTGTGATAATTTAACCAACAACGCCGCGGATTTCTCCACTAATCTAGAGAACGAAGGCTCTCCCCGAAGTAGGCTATACTGTATTCTCTCCACATTTTATGCTACAACTTTGCTGCAAACCTTCGGTGCCTAACACGAAGACGCAGATCATCAGTTTTATCGCTCAGCTTCTCCCCGTATAATCCAATCCAATTAAATGGTTATTGCGGTTTAATGCCAATTGCACTCCAATCGACAAATCGGTGGGTATGGTGGATTTACTGAGTGCCATCAATTAAGGTAATACTTGTTCCATCACAAATAAAGCTATAAAAGCCAGACTGCGCCTTGTGTAAGCTCTAAAAGCATCCTATTGCACTATTTATCGTCCACTAGCTTTCGTCCATAAACCGTAAAACAGTCCTCAGTTGTTTTAACCCTTCTGGCCACTGACCCATAAGTCGTCATTAGAAATGTATCTAAGTGTGAACACGCTACCTTCATTTGATTGATTTCAAGACTGCATAGCATACGAGTCGCCTTAAGATAACCCAAGAGAGAGCACTCACCTTGCGTACTGCTTGTGCATGAGTCTTAGCAATTCAGCGACGGGGTGAGTGGATGCCACATCAGGCGCGTTGATTCCTGCCATGCACGCGTCCATCAGTTCTCTCACACACTTACAGGCCTTGGACAGAGTCATTTTAAGAGAGTGACATTCGTGAAGGCGAGAGATGAAATGAATTGAGGTGAGAGCACGTGTATATGCCAGTGATGCGCGCGTATGTGCAGTGCCGTCTACTTTGCACTCGGTGTTTCTGCCACTTCCTGGTGAATGGATCACTCTTACATCCAAATTTTTCGTCCTACTTTTAAATAGCAAGTTAACGGTGTTTAAAAAGGTCTAAAGGATTTGGATCGGTGTTATTAGTACCTCTTAATAGACCAAAATATGTGAGGAATTGACAAAAAATAACTGCTCCTTGGTAGATTGACTGCTGTGCCAGCGGTGTCACTCCTGTGCTACCAGATTATCCGACTTTCTGCAAGTATATGGCAAAGTTGTCAGGCAAACAAAAATTGAACTGTTTCCGGTAGGGGTAGCTAAGTTGGTGACTTGATGTAACTTGCGAAGGTAAAAAGTACATTTGGTTATTTACATGATTCATTAGGCATAAATGGGCTTAAGTCCATCTGTGTGATACTCTTCAATCCGCTCTTCATAATTTTCCACTTGGTTCTCATCCTCACATCACATTGTACTGGTCCAATCCAAAGTATAACATTCGTGATAGTCTACCTCACGAACAGGATTTGTCTCGCTTCTATTGGCCCAGAGCATGGCTTTGCGTCTGACCTGCTACTGAGCATTTCTAACTATTACAGTCTACTATATTTGTCTTCATCCACATCGACCCAGAAGAGAACAGACAGCGTAGGGGAAGTCACTCAACCAATGGATTCCAATCAAATTCCATGCAATAATATGCTAAATGAGAGGCTGCAGAGACCATCATTTTCACTTTCATTTCACTTCTCCCACCTATTTCATTTGAAATGTGTCGCCCTCTTTACACTGTCTACTAACCCACTGATTGAGATGGGAAACGGTTATGGGACTGCAGCATTCTTTGGGCAAACGAACACATCACATATTGTCACACAATCCACCCATTGCCACTCACTCTACAGGTCCAAGACACGCACCATTTCTTCACGACAAAACTCTTCATTGTGTGTATGTATGAGTGGATATTAAGTCTGATAAACTACAAACAGAAGTGTTCTCTGTGAATCACCTATTGATGATTGAACAAATGTGTCAGGGATGGGAGGGGATGGAGGAAGTTGTGTAGATGCAAGAAAATGTAAGAATTCACCTTATAAAGCATTCAAAACCGTACTCCTGAGATCTCATCCTGCACTTAAGGCTGGGTTGGAGGGGGATGACAAAAGAGGAAACGAGGTACCGCTTCATCCTCATTTTCGCCTACCCTATTTCTCCTGATAATAATAATGTTTTATCAGCTTGTGGTGAAGTAGCAATGTGTGTCCTGGACCTGTAGAGTGAGTGGTAATGGGTGGATCTTTTGACAACTCTCCGTGATGTGTTTGTTTGCCCAATGAAAATTGCAGTGCCATAGCCGTTTCCCATCTCAATCAGTGGGTTAGCAGATAACGCAAAAAGCACGACAAGTTTCCAATAAGATGGGTGGAAGAAGTGAAGTGAAATGAAAGCAAAAAAGGGAGTCTCCGCAGTCTCTCATTTGTCATGTGTTAATGCACAGCACTTGATTGGGGCCTGTTGGAAGAGTGACTTCCCCCACGATGTTTGTTTTCTTCTAAGTCGATGTAGATGGAGAATAATATGGTAGACTGGAATAGCTAAAAACGCTCAGTGGAAGATTGTCCGCAAAGCTACTGTCTGAAGCATTGGGAGGGTGGATGAACTCGGTTGATGAAGAAGATTATCTTGAGGGTTATGCTTTAGATTGGAGCAGTACTGTGCGATGCGAGGGTGAGAAACAAGTGAGAAATCATTAAGAGTGAATTGAAGAATACGATACCGATAGACCGGCGCATATCTCTTAGGCCCTCTATAGAAATAATCTTACTTATTTTACAATTTTGTACCACATTCATCAAGCCACTTTAGAGGGCTATACGGAAACCCGTACAAAATTTTATTTATGTGAATGCGTTTTGGATATTACTTTTAAAAATTCATAAATTAACCATTTCAAAACATCAAAGTTTTAGGAGACCGCTTGACATCCGCAACTGTAATCGCTTTTGTAACGGAGAAAATCTAACAAGTTAAAGGTTGTTGAAATGCGGCTTGTATGCATTCAATTACCACCTCTGAGATTGGTCGAAAAAACCTAAAATAAGCTGAGAGTTGACACTTCCACCGTCAATAATCCATACACCACTGTTTCGGCTGAATACTGTCGGCCATAAAGGACTCCTCGCAAAACACAATTCAAAAACCATCCCCTTTGAATCACCGCATGGGTGTTTGAAGTTAGGACAACAGAGGAAGTGGAGGCGGGGAAGAGGAGGAGACAAAAGCGTTTACCAGTGGAGACATGTCAGACGAGCAGTAAATTAGAGCATTGGCTTAACTGCTGATACCGCTCCAGTTCCACATTATCCTCTACTACCCCAGTTGCCTCCGCTTCTCTTTCTGCTGCATGCGAACAATTATGTATATGCGTCTATGGCATCGGTGAATCAGCTATTCGGTGAATGAAACATCTTGAATTATGGTTTGTGCGGCCTTTACGAGTTTGTACACTTACACACCTACAACAATAAAAGGCCACTCGTGTGTATTTGCTGCACAGTTCTGATCGTCCTCATACACTGCATGAGCTGGACGGAGCATTTTATGCAACTCTCTCTTCTGCCTCTTCTGGCTCCTGTCATGGCTCACATCCTACAAAAATTCTCCGTAGGATTCGGTGTCTTATTATGACCTTGGAAAGTGAGCTTTTTACAAAAGCTGACCAAATTTTGGACTAACTGTACTCTACCGACCTTTTCAAGCTGGCAACGTCTGCATACTCATAGTAAAACTGAGTTAAGACTCATATTCGGAGGAATGTCTTTGAAGGCAAGTCATGTGCTACATTCCGGGTACTTTTTGCTCCTTTGAGAAGAATATGACAGGTTACACTGATGCTTCAAGGTGGGTTTACATCCACGCAGGTAGACTACATCTGTGGGAACTTGCAATAAGAAACAAGTGATTTACTTTTACCTTTTATGAAGTTTTTTTTTAAGGTTAGTAATTAAGCGCGACAGCTACATTTAAAGCTAAAATAGGTAAATGATTTGTATGCAAATTGAGAGATATGGTGCCTTCTCGTGTCACGAGATGCTGCAATTACCATAAAAGGGACATTTAGTTCAAACAAGACCTTTTAATTTAACAAGTTTTTTACTATCATGATGGTTCTACACGCGGTAATAAGTGGCAAATATGACATTTTGCAAGTTGACACTCAATGATTACCTCACAGGCCAGTTTAGCTTCATCCAGTCCAGTCGAAACACCTTCATTTGCTATGGCAATGAGTGCGGGAATTGGACAGCGTGCAAGGGTGAAGTTTTTCATGATCTGGAACGTAAAACCAGAGGATATGCTATTGCGCATTTTTACGACAAGCCACCATGACTCGGCGCTCAGCCTATGAGTCAGTGAACAGTAGCAGTAGGACCTTTAAGTGGTGCAAATACTACCGAAGACGTCTGACCGTATGTCCATGCCTTTGCCAATGGCAACCGCAAGCTATGGTGATGATTAGCCCATAGTAGAGTTGTAATGTTCGTGAACATTCAACTAGACCAAAAGGGAGAAATCTTTCCATGACAACGACTAGCACGAATATTCATGAAGGTCTATAAAAGCATAAAAAATAATTCTCACGTGTTTATGCTTTAAGCCAAAGAGGCGAATCCAATGCTGTCCTGAGTTGAAGGGGGCCATTGAAAGGGAAATTCAGGATCGTTGAGGGTGCATGATTTTGCTTCGAACTTTAAGCATACATCACATTATTGTAGGCATGCGAATGCATTTCTGGACGAAAAATGAAGTGAACCAAACTGCTAATGGATGGTTCAGTCGGAATGACGAAACTTTCCATTGTGCTGGTTAAACTTTGAGACCGAAATGTGAAGAATGGTGGGGTACGGTATAAAAAGGAAATAGCTATAAAATCTCTAAAATTAAGTTATTTTGCATGGTAAACTACAAAGTCCCGGCTTGATCTAAACGACCGTCGCATTCTCACAGGTAGGCACCTATTGTAATGACAGTGTCAGTTGGAAGGAAGAAATGGAACCACTACGCGACAACTCATCAAAGAACTTGTAAAGATCTACGAGATGCACATCTTTCAACTATTAATGCAGGTGAAATACCACCAAAAAAGTCCAATTTGAGACGGATCATCTAGAGGTAGGCCAATGCTGAGTTTACATTCATCTTACGCCAAAATTGTTAATTCCCAGTCATTTAGCCCCTCTCTAGGGTGATAATGAAGCGTTCTTCAGACTCATGTGTTTTGCGTCGTCTTTGGAGAGAATTCCCAACCCTAAAAAGTCACCTGGATGGAACCACTGACTAAAAATTGACCAAATATTGGCATAGCTTGATCACCAACCTTTTGAGACAGCATGCTTACCTACTACAGTTTCACCATCTTCCACAAGGTAATCATGAGTGCAGTAAGATTTGCAAACATTAGTGTAACCATCTGAGTTCACTTGAGGTCGCGAAGGTGTGATAGAGTAGAGTCGAGTGGAGCGGAGGGTATGCGGGCTATTTAATCCAATTTAGCCTCCCTTTCCCCACCCATCAATCAACTCGAAGTGCACGTGAAAAAAAGCGGTAGAGAGAGGGAACACCCAAGACACTAGTGAGAATATTGCCTCCATCAGGGTCAAGCAAATATGGACTCGACAAATTAATTGATGGTCACACAGAACGGCTAACACATTAGCTAACAGGGTACTCAGGAGAAAATCGTCTACCGCAGCCGAAAAGTTTTATTGTTATGGGACATTGTCTAAATAATCTACTCAAAATTTGCGTAACCTAACATCGTGAACGTTCTACACATATTCAAATGCTTCAAAGAGACACGAGGTGTGCAACCAGTTATCCTAGACAGATAGGTTAACTAGAGAAGGCGTGCTTGGCAGGAAAGCCCAGGCGTCACATATATGTGTCGCTGATTGCGAAGGTAAGAACTCTAAATGTGATTCTCGTTTCGTACAGAACATCTCAATGATAAACAAGCCAAGCCACTTTTTTAAATAGATTGACATCTCTACGTGTAAACTGGAGTAGGGGCAAGGCCAGTGGGGTGGTTCATTGCTGACATTTCGAAAAGGCGTAATTTTGTTTATGCCGAGATAAGCGAGCCAAGCACAAACACACCCGCGCATACCTTTTAAATCGTGTAAACTCACAACTTTTTTTGTGCTGCATCTCTTTCCTTGTCCTTTTTTAACCGATTAAATATAGCGATTAAAGTTGTTTATGTCAGAACCACTGGATCTACTCCAACTATCATAGGATATGCTCGGCTTTGATTTAACCATCCTGGTTGGTGGTGTGTTTTATGGACCTTTTTTAACTGAGATTTCTCAAGCAGGCAATGTGGCATTTTGTTCCCACGAAGTACTCTCATGTACGCTGCCTCAAAGCCGTATCTACTCTTTGAACTTATTCCTCTAGGGCGCCTCAAAATCTCAGTGAATATTTGACCCTTTTACTTTTGGTCTTTTCAAAACGCTTTGCCAGAATTGGATCAAGTAACTCTAGTGATTGTGTTGACACTGAGGTTCCCTATCCGAGCGAAACTTTGAGCAGATAAAAATTCTGGGAATTAGGGAATTTTGAAAAGGTGGATTGTGCTGATCTACCTTGACCTTTTGCACAGATTAACTTAACGCCAAGACAAGACTCGTGCCATTTGACACAGCAATCAAACAAGGGCCATGCTCATTCCCCAAAATGTAGGGTTCATTTTCTCGTGGGAATAAGGAGTGACAAGAAGAAGTGTTTTGTACTCCTGCCTAATGGAAGAGAATTGTTCAAAAAGGTCAGGGAGATTGACTGGTAGAAAATTAACGACTCCGCCCCAAATAACCGTTGTGGATGTATTCATAGGGAGTAGCAAACGAGGATACTAATCCCGGCCACTTTAAAACGCATTCACAAAAGAAAATAGTATATTCTTTTACTAATAGCCTCTGGATTAGAGCAAGTACCACTCCCCCTTATCACGAGGCAGGAAAATAGAATCGTACCCCATGCACCTCACCCTTAACATACATTAACCATTGTCTTAGAATGGCAACTCCTGAATGATCTTTTCGACCACTTAAAGAGGACAAAGTTGTCAAATGCATTTTAGAGCCTAAAAAGGGAATATTTTGGACGAGCAAAGCTTTATCACTTTTATATAGTATGTTAGCAGTAGTATCAATTGAAAGAGAATGCTTTGCCAGGCTTCCCTTTCAGAAATGGAGAAATTGACACTGCAGAATAGGAAATGGCATTTGTTGGAAGAAATACTTGTCAGAGGTGACGCCGATTTGGCGTTTTCAACCGGTTCTCAATGGCAAGCATATTGCTTGACTTGGGAGACTCACAACCTAAAACTAAATAGACAAAAAAGTATTCCACAATCAATTGTCAATGAATTTTTTGCTAGAGGAAGCTGAGGAGGATAGGTGGCATCTATCCTGACCACCTGGATGTGCACACAACCGGACAACCCGGCCGGCTTGTCAGTTTGTGTGTGTTTTGTGCATTTCGCCAATCACAAACAGCCTCCTTCCATAATATTTCACATCACATGGTTTTTACCATTGCGGTTAGACAAAGAGAATCAGCAGTTGGGTTGCCTTTTTCTCCCTTGTGCGCACGAGGCTAATACAATTGATAAACTTGGTGCATACAGGCGCAAGGCCATCTAGATTCCTCAAGCCTTTTCACCTTCACCTCCTACCTTCAAGTTGGGGAAAATGGGGATGGAGAGACTTTGTGTGTGCCTCCAGGCAGCCCATTGCCACTGCCATTCACTGGAGGAGAAGGTGTCAGATACGAAGAGTGTGATGTGTGACCTCTGAGGCAGCAGTCAGGCGTACACAGGCAATTTTGAGAATGTCAGACATGGAGGTAGGGAATGCAGTGACTGACTGACTGAGATGAGCGAGTAGAACGACATTTTAGAGTGACTTGTTTGTGCCCCTTGGTTGACCGCGTGGGCACCTTCACCTTTGGGAGGGGTAAATTATGCAGTCGTTTGATTCAAAAGGCGCCCTCGTTTTTGTCTTCTCCCCAATGAGGTGTACCTTTATTATACTGACATAATATACACTTGGGAGCAATAAAACTGATACAAGCCTTAACCGCATTTTACCCAACCCATTTTTAACATGTCCATTTACCGACCAAAGAAATTATACCCTGCCTTCATATTCAATGGGACTACCTCCACCGAGGTGCTCCGATTGTCAAACAGGGTAGGACTGCCTATAAACTCACATTGTGCCTGAGCATTTTGTTCATCAAGTTAATTAGACCTCTGTTAATCTGTATTGAATCACACATTTTATTTATTCATTCCCACTCCCAAAAGTAGCTATGTAAACGGCTCAGCATTACTTCCCCTAATGGGGAAGGAGCTCTTCACTCTACAAAAATTCCAAGTTATTACGTCGGCAGTGCATGCAGAAAATAAGGCACGCATTTACCAGGGTTCAAAATGTATGGTGTGGATAAAGACGGATCTGCCCACTTCTAAGGAGGGGAGGCATTTTCCTGCGACATACCATAGAGGCCTTGAAGTCGCCACCGCAAAATACAGACATGCACATGGAGACACGCACACACGCACACGCACCAACCGTCGGTTGGCATTTGGGTAGCGGAAGCTGTAGCACCTGGTGGTAATTAATTGGCGGTCGACTTCAAAAGCCGCGGTCCACTCTCCATAATATTAGACGGCTTTATGGACATCCTCACACACCTACAAACATACGTACACAAGGCGTTTTCTTTCTCTTCAGAAATGTAAATTGGTGTCGCTTATGATTTATTAGTAGTATGTGGCTCACCAATCACCACAGGCTTACAAGGTCGTAAAATATGGAATGTCCGATTGTCCTTTCAAAGTGGCGGGTTATCGAATCACCCAAATGGTAAATTTTTGACTTTGAGGGCGAGGAAAATAGAGGTTCCGTGCCTTATCCATACGAGAGACAAGAGCTCGGTCGATCCGGCTGAAAGTTTCGCCTCTTTTGCTTTTTCTTTGAGGCTTTTACAATTGTTATATATTGAAAACAACCTCTCCCTGTAGAGCATCTCGAGTGGTAGCATTCTTTACGACAGTAAATATATCCGGTATGACATCTTGAGCTGCCATCGAAGTAGCTCCCGAATTACCTTTAAAGAGCGCTATAAGCGTGGGGTCTTGATACCAATGGGATCATGAGGAGGGTCTCAGACTGCTTTCGTGGAGGTTGAGTCACGGACGATTACAAAGATCTAGATAAGGTTATAAAAGTACTGAAAACTGTGGGACACCTCGTTTTCTCCACTAATGTCCTTTTGGTCTCTCTATTGGACATTTTTGTAGACGCGTTTCAAATCTTTTCATATTGCTGCCAAGTCTGAAATGGAATCTTTCCCTTTTTGATCAAGCAGTATTCGCCTCAACTAATGCGCAGATTGTTTTCACGGGATCATATCATGTTCATAGATAAAAAGGACAAAGTCGAAGGAGAGAGAAAAAAACGGGGAAACAATCATTGAACCAATGTTGGACTTACAATCCTCAAAAAGTGTCAAAAGTGTTGTGCACAAGTGAGAAATTTCATTTACTGTTCTTCACCGATCTCCTTCTGATTTACTACCTCTCAACATTCCACGCATACCTTATCTTTCCAAATTTATGATACATCTGACTTCACTCTAACCGACGCCACCACTTTCTTGATATTTTACTAAACTGCCTACTGTGCACGCCTTTCTTTTGTGCTTTTGTTTGAATGCTGACATAAGGAACTTCTGTAGAAGATATTGCCTCACTCCTATTCTCTCTCCCCCCTGTGTTTCATACATTTTCCTATTGGACATTCGGAGGTCGGAAAAACGAGAACACAGAGACTCAAAAACTGATTTATCTCCAGCGTCTGTATTCGAGTGCACGGAAGCACCCATAAAGCACTTTGTCACCTTAATTGACTTCAATGGTGGAAGGAGTCGATACCACTTAATTTTGCCATTGAAACCAAGTGATTGATTCATCCGTCCCGGGAATTCCGTCGTCCCATTTCATTCGCGTTTCGACAAGTAAGTGAGCTTTCTGTAAAGATTTATCTTAGACGATGTTTAACTCGTAGCTGACAATGGTGATTGAGAGATTTGAGAAAGCAAAATGACGACGACGGAGGCGGCAACTACGTCGTCTTTTCACCTGCCGACCACCCGCACCTTCTGACCTCTTTTTCGCCAAGTGTCGTTTTATTTATTCTTCGTGTGCGAGGGCAAACGTGTGTGTTCCTGTGTGTCCTCCTTTTCCGTCTACTTTCGCTGGCTCGCTCACTCGCTCACTCACTCACACTGCGGTGGTGGTGGCATAAAGTAGCAATTTTGTTGTTCTCTCTGCACACATCTTGTAACATCATCCCTCTCTGAATCTCTATCTCCAACTTTACCTCCACAAGTGGGATTTGTGGTTAGACCAGGAAGGCTGTGAGTTGCGTTGATCTCTTGAGATTGGGCTAGTGGTAAAAAATGCTTGTGCAGTTGTTTATTGGCGGTAGTTGGACATCTGCCATGGGGTTGTCGAATTCACTGATGGATCAACAAATTTAGTAATCACCCCTAAATTCAAAATGGACCTTTTTGGTGTTGTGAAAAATTGTTATTTTTAGGCTTTCACGTCCTAACTACCCTCTATTTTAAACGCACCTCCCGAAGGCGATAATGGAAGGGAGTAAGGAGAGAGATTGGTGACGCACCATTTATTTAGTCTCAAGAATTACACATTCCGCCTGGACGATGAAAAAACTACTTGAAAAAAACCGCTTTGCTATGCCGTCCTATAACCACACTTGGGAAAGTCCCCAAGTACGTAGGAGCTTTGCTTGGTAAAAACCAATGTAGAACCTGTGTAATCAAACAAAAGGTGCTATTTTCACCAAAATTGACTAAAAACAATTTTATTGTTTGAAGGAAAAAGAATCTGGGATCAAGATCATGTGAATAACGCTTTGACAGCTCTATCACCCCACCAATCGTGCGTCTTCGCACTTGCGCGTTATTTCATCCAATCACAACACGAGTACGGTCGCAGCAAAAGGGAAACATATCCCTTTTCTAAATGGTAAACAAATCCATTTGCTGCTTTAGCTTTTGATTTGTATAACAGATCTCCTTCTGCTAAAAATAACTTGAAGGTGGGGTCCTATAATCAAGGAGATTAAAAGCCTGGAATCTTCAATAGGTAGGTGTAGTTAATGCCAGGCTAGCATTTATCTCTTCACAGCACAAAAAAGTCGTTTTATTTACCAATCCCGGGGAGAATAACTTGCCATAAATGCCTCATGTCAGACCAGTTGTCAGGACGTGAGTGAGCGCGCAGGAGGGATGAGGGGAGAAAGAGAGGGAAGCAAGGAGGGCGAAAATGAATGCAGGCGAAAGCGAAATCTACTAATCAGTCAGCCACAAAAGTTGGCAGATTTCCACCTGTGAAAACGTCTTCATGAAGACGTGTGAATCACCTTTCTTTTACCTATCGATAATTGGCCCCAAACAAACAGACATATGACCTCGAATTCGCCTTCCACCAATGGTGTAATTTAATCAATGCATTGGTCCAATCATCCGTCCACTCACACACCCACCAAAATCGAATTTTCTCGGTGTGTGCTGGGAGCGTCACATTTTCATACACCTAACCCAAGTGGGCGCCTTCTAACTCATGGCGCCAATCATGTTTGGATTTCTTTGAGAAATGAGTTCACTTCCTTTTAAAATAACTTCGTGATGTACAAAGTTCAAATGCGGTGTTGAGTACAAGTCAATTGTCCATGTGACCTTCATTCAGGACATGGGATGCATTAAAACAAAGTCACAGTCAACTTTAAATTTTTGAATAACCCTATGAAAAGGGATCTTACAAAAACCTGATTTATGCATCATTACAAATAAAGTTTGTCTTCTTACTTTCTATTTAAAAAGATATTTTATTTCACTCAGCATATTTTGCTTGGCTGGTTTTAAAGTTATTGCAATAAGCATCATGAAATCGCACTTCTTTCCCTGAAACAATAAACACGATTTTATGAGGGATGGTGGTAGATTTTGTGTGTGATTGATTGACAAGTTATAAAGGTGTTAATGAGCCCTCTGTTGTATGCCACTGGTAAGTCACAACTGACGATTGGTTATTTTTGGACGATTGCAGGGGCCTCTCCCACCCTTCGCAATTATCATGACTTAGGCAGAACTCATACTCACAGGTGTGTGTGCAAGTGAAGTCGAATAACATTATAGGTGAAAAAAGGAGATGTAGGGCAAACCAGAAAGCTGTCAGTACCATGTCAAAAATTTGCAGTTGTCCATTAGGAAGGTATTTGACGCCAGACAAAATGCCAAAGCAAGGCAGGGGAAGGGGAAGACGAAAGGTCGTAAAAACGTCGTCGAAAAACAGTCAATTTATCGGTAAAATTACGCTGACTCAGACGACCGAGGGTCGCGCGTCTTACAAGGCATGGAATTCATGGAAAAATGGTAAGTGGTCTTTGCATTAATGGCTGACGGGTAGTGGTGGTGCTTTTTCGACGGTGTAATAGAGGTATTTGGGCACAAAAGGTAAAATATGCTGCCGATTACTCCCTGTTATTGACATCGCTGAACAGTAGGTGCGAGAATTGGAATTGATGGATGGATGGTGGTTTTATTTTTAAAGGTTGCCAAGATTTACCTGCTTTAAATCGCTTCTTTTACACGAGCAAAGTGACCCTATTCTATCGCTAATGAAATGGAGGGCATAAAGTGGGAAATAAATACCCAATGGGTAAAATCGGTGAGGGAGGGGAGATATCAACATGCGAAATCTGATGTTAATGCAATTGGAAATGCCATATTTTATAACATGACATGTATCACAGGCAGTTAAGTGGCATTCCCTGCCAGGAATATTTTATGAATATCTGGTCGTCTGTAAATCAGGGAAAAAGAAAAGGAATGCGCAAGACGATCACAGATTGATCGTTTGGTTGATAGAGATAGTTTAACATTCTAATGTATCAAGAACTGTGCACTGCTAGACCCATACTTTGAAATGCTGAAGTGTTCATCCATCCATCCATCCATCCATCCATCCATCCATCCATCCATCCATCCATCCATCCATCCAT